CTCGTGGATTCACCCAAAAAAAAAGTGTTACTGATTTTGTTATTATTTAAATAATAAAATCGATAAAAAATTATTGAAAATATTTTTTTTTCTACCAGTTTTGTTATTTTTCTAACAGTTTTGTTATTGTTGGACACTTTACCGTAAATATTAAAAAACGTTGATGTTTTAAGTATAAATAATAATGTTTTAAGTGATTTTTTACCCATTTTATTATTTAAATAATAACAAAATCAATAATACATTTTTTAATTATATATTAAGAGTGTCGAACTGTAGAACTTTCCGAGCATCTTTTGCAAGGTGAAATGTCAATCGTCCTTTTCCATTTTTTGTTCATCATTTGTCATAAATTTCTTAATATTTTTTTTGGAATATTTTATTATATTATAATCACGTTGACTATATTTTATATATACTGATAAATAAAAGGTTTAATGTAAAAATAAGTGTTTAAATTATATTATAAGTTAACTTTAGGTGCTTAAAGAATTTTTTTGAATTAAAAATATTAGCCTAACATTTTACTGTTACACTTTTAAGTGTCTAACATTTTTTTCTGTTATACTTTTAGGTGTCTACGCAGTAGCGGTTGTTAAAAAAAAGTCAAGTAATATATGTCATGTTTATATTTTGGTTTAATGTAAAAATAAGTGTTCAAACTATATCCTAAGTTAACTTTAGATGTCTAAAGAATTTTTCGCTAAGAATAGGTGCCTAACGTTTTCGACTTTATACTTTTAGGTGTATAAGCTGTAACGACCATTAAAAAAAGCCTATAAGTGACACATATCATGTTTATATATTTTCTAAAATATTTATTTAAAAATTTTAATAATATTATTAGTTAAAAGAACCCAATTTTTTAAAAAATTACAAAAAATTCTACAATCCTAAAATCTCTCATTCAACCTAATTAACGGCTGTTGTCGACTATCACCGACTGTGTTCACCATCTTTGACTGATCACTCACTCGTCCTCGGGCCTTCATTGTCGTTCATTTCTCATATTGTCGTCTCAATCCCCTTAAATCCATAAATCCAAACTTAATACCTAAATCCCTAACTCTAATTTCAAATTTATTATTCTCACCCTAAATTAACTTTAAGGATTTAGGGAGACGACATGGAAGGGAGGGTTTGAATGTAACTGGGGAGGGAGAATTTTTTTTGCACAGGCAAAGGGGTTGCCTAAGCAGAAGGGAAGAATTTTTTTCTTAATTTTTTAAAAAATAATGTTTTAAATTTTTTTAGAAAGTAAAGATTTAAAAAATATATAAATGTGACACGTGTTAAATAAAGATCGAATTTAATAGTCATTAATTATAGTCTAAACACCTAAAAGTGTAACGTCAGAAACGTTAGGCATATAATTTTAGCAAAAAATTCTTTAGGCACCTAAAGTTAATTTAAGGTATAGTTTAGACACTTATTTTTGCGTTAAACCAAAATATAAACATGACACGTGTCACTTAACAATTTTTCTTAACAACCATTACTGTGTAGGACCTAAAAATGTAACACATAAATCGTTAGACACCCAAAAGTATAATGAAAAAAATATTAAACATATATTTTTAATGAAAATTTTAGAAACCTAAAATTAATTTAGAGTATAATTTAGAAATCTATTTAACTTTTTATATTATTAACATAAGTATAATGGAAATAGTAAAAGTAAAGCAATCCGTGCGCCACGATTTCTTAATATAAGAAAACGTGTAAGTATTTACTTTTTTATATTATGTGGTACAAATTGGAATTTCATCGCTTCGTCAAATACTATGTTCACTACTTGCTATTCCACTTTAATCCATCAAATGAATTTGACCTTCAAAAAATTATGTTTAACAGGTAAATATCTATAATATATCAAACTAACAAAAATTGAAATCATTTTGACTTTTCTTTCCAAGTTGAATGAATTAGGTTAAATTAACCCCACAATTATAGAACAAGAATTCTCTGCCCTTTTTATGTGTCCATTTATATATTCCACAATTATATGATGCCACGTGTATTAATAAATTTTATTTAAACTAATAGAAGTTCACCGTCAGTGTTTCTATCTAACTAATGATCTCCATTGATAAGTTGATCTTTGATGGCTCTATCGATTGCATTGAGATCTTCACAGCTTGGAGTTTGCTTTTGGCTCTCTCTTTTTTCTTCACACTCCAATATTGCTGAAGTACGTTACTTTGCAATTCTCCCTATTTTATTGAAAATGATATTCTTTACAGGAATATAGATGATGTTCACAAAACAATGGATTAGACCCGTGTGATAAGAAGACGGTGTGGAGAAGCTGTTTGGTCTTTATGTTGGCCTTTTTGGAGCGATGGTTGCAGGCTGGAGAAGCTGTTCTTCCAACTCTGCACCTTCAAGTTCTTTCAGTTCTGCTTCCAATTCATCCTGCAGTGTCAAAAGTTTTCAAATCATGTTTAGATTCGTATAATTGTTAGTCTTGCTAGGGTGAAGGAGATCATTACCTTGCAATCCGCTTCCTCGCCTTCAGAGACATTAATGATCTTGTTCTCGTTAAGTACTATGTTACTACAAGTTTCTATTCTTACCACATTCTGCCTTCTTGTAATGGTTTTGATTTTCTTTTCTGGTACTCTCTATGGTGATGTTTAAATGGAGATCATTAGCTAAAGAAAGATGAAGGAGATGATTAGCCGACGGTAAAAAAGAGAGTAGAAGTTGAAGTATAAAAAAGTCAACGGTGAATTATCGATAGTTTAAATAAATTTCATTAAGACACGTGACATTATATCATTAATAGGGCATATAAAGGGCACATAAAAGGGATAAATGATTCTTGCTCTCATGCGACCCATCAAAGAATAATGTCTCTTGTTCACTACATATTTAAAGGAACGAGAATCTTCTATCATTATACTATTATTAGCTAGATTGTGTTTTAATTATTGAATGTTTTGTATTATTTAAGTTACTCTATCATTAACTCATAGCAAAAAAAAATGACATAACCATTAAATAATTAATATAATAATAAATTTAATTTTCAATATTTATATATTTTATCAATTTGATCTATAATTATATAAAATAAATTTTAGAATAATAGCATTGACACCATATGCATCATAAACAACAATATGGTAATGCAAAGAATAGAAAATGCACCTCATTTTCTCTTCTTCCTCGTCCTTCCAAATAACTATGATGCACATCAGCCGAAAATACATCAAAAGGAGGGCAAAGTGCACTTGATCCACTCTTAAATCAATATGGGTATGTATCCACCATAAAATCTAAAATTTATTCGATTAAATATTCATTTTATTGATTGTGTCTACCTTAAATTATTTGCGTCTATCTCATACAAAAATTATGTTATTAATGCATATGTGTTCACCCTCAAATATATTTTTGGATCCATCACTACACGTCACTATATATATAGCTTATGATCCACTTACACAATGTATATTATTTTAGTTTTACACAGATTTAGGACGATTGAATGAGTGAAAATAAATAATTAATATTAACTTCTTATTTTTTTCTAATGAAAATATTCTCATTTAAATCTAAATCTATATAAAACTAAATAATTTTATATCATGTAATTGGATTTTATCTTCAAATCCATATGTTACAATGAATAATTAGAAAGTATGCATCCTAGAAATTTAGAATAATAAAGCATTAATAGTATATGGTTAAGCCAGTTATAATTAAAGTGTTATATTTTTCGATTCAATTATATCGTGGTTTGATTTTAAAAGTATACACGACATAATTTATTTGGTGAAGAAATAAATTGGAAGTAAAAAATAGAATGAAAATTTTATAATCACGATGCAATTTAATTAAACTATGATTTTTATATTTATACAATTATATATATGTAATTAAAATTTTAGGGTTTGATATACTCTCTTATAATTCCCTTACAAATTAAAATCTATAGCCAAGCTTTGTGAAGTTATTCTACTCTATTTATGGTTTTTTCGTAAATTTAAGTGCTCTTTATGTTTCTTTTTTATTACTTTATGATCGTTTTTTGTTAAATGAAATATAATAAAATTTAGTAAAATTTAAATTGTATTAAATAATAATCATTTAGTACTTTTTGTTAACTATAAATATTAAATTTATAATTACCTTTTAGAATGAGATATAGATTTAAAATGAATTCATAATTCAATATTTATGAAATGAAAATTGGTATAGATTTAAATTATATGAAAATTTGAAATTATCATGAGCGACTGCACCATCACTCCTCTCTCGGTCCATCCTACTTGGGATACGACATATGAGAACGAATTGTGAACTTCCAGGAGATGAGCAGTCCAACGATAACTGGATAAGAAACCTGCTGTCTCAAGCAATGAACAATAAATGTAATGTCTATCCTGGTGTGTGTAAGATATAATAACCTTCCAACAAATCGTTTCCACAACTTTGGATGTGGTAGGGGATCATCAGAACCGTTAGTCAACTTGTTAGAAGGTGCCATAGGCAACGTAGCAAGATATCCAGTGTCTTCAAGGACCTACAATGGCTTATGACATTGAGAAAGAGGTATACCAGTAGAATTGGCCAAGATCCTTCGGCTTGAAATATTGTTGAAGGGAGTTGCATGCAAGTCCTAGTGCATCAATATTTTTACATGTAATAACAATATCATCAACGTATACAAGAAGCGATATAAAATCATGACCAAAAACCGTTGTGGAAAGAGTGGTTTCAGAAGAAGATTGTTATCTTTTTTTCGAATCTAACTTGAGATTATAAAACAAATGATATAATATAAAAAAAAATTCTTGACGTTTGATTAAATATTTATTTTACATAATTTACTTATATTAATCCTAAAATCTAAATTTTATTCCTAAATTTTATCCCTTAAGATTTTAAATTCTAAACTTTCAAACTTAATCCTAAACCCAATTAAAAAATAAATATATTTATGTAAATTAAAAATATATTATCATTATTTTGTAAGTATTGTATTACTTGAATCAATGGTTTTACCCTCAAAAGCCCACATCTAAACCTCACTTTCCCATCCTTCTCCAAAAATCTTCTCATGCCGCCGCTCACAACCACTACCGCCACCACATCCCAGTGGTGATCTTCTAAACTTCGACCAGCCACCACCACAACCAACGGCAACCCCTCAAATGGCGACCGCCGCTCCAACAACAGTTTCCTCCGACGCAACAACCACCACTTCGTCCGACGGTCCTGTCCTTAGCCTCATCAACAAACGTATCCGTGCGTTACGTAAGAAATACAACCGCATCCTCCAAATGGAAGAATCCGTCTCCCAGGGCAAAACTTTAAACAAAGAGCAAGAAGAAGTCATCCTTTCAAAACGTGCCGTCTCCGCCCTCATAGACGAACTCGAGAAGCTTCGCCAACCTCTTTCCTCTGCCATATCCGAAGAAATCTCACTCGCCTTACAGAATCAAACAATTTCGACTGAAGAAACTACCTCACAAACTCAAGAACAACTGCCGCCTGATGAGCCCGATCATACCATTGAGGATCTCCTCAATCTGCTCTATCTAGGGTCGTTGTTCGATGTCAAGTCTCAGAATGATTTCACTTGGACGATGTTGACTCGGAATCACGAGAGGGGCTGTTGCCTGACCTATGATTACGTCACCGACGACGCCACTGACCTGCTTAGCGAGAAGGATTTGGATTTGATTTCGACATTGAGTGTACTATTGACTTCCCGACCTGCTGCTTCCAGTTTGTCTCACAAGAACGCTTTGCATCGTTGCATCCAACATGCTAAGCTTTGGATTTCGAACTCTGACCAGCCCATCGACCCCAATGCCGCCGTTTCCTGTAATAAACCACTCTAATCGTGTTTTATTTGTTTTCAATTTTTGGGTTTTCTTTTTCTAACTTGCATTTCTTTATGTTGCAGATGCTGGGTTGAGAGAGAGGCTTAACAAGATTATGTCTTTGGATTATTTTACAACAACCCCGGAGATCAAGGCGACTGTTGAAGTGGCTGCCGCAGCTGCTGCTGGGACTTATACCACCTTCCAGGTTCCGGTGCAGAATGTGCCCATTTATGTGCCTGTTGAGGTGGAAGATCCAATTGAGCAGTATCAGCAGAAGGTAATATTCTTTGTTTTAGTTTAAGAAAAGGAATGATTTTGGTTTGTTGCATTTAACATTTTTTTTATGATATATGTTTTAGTGTAAAGCTCTTGGATTCCCCTCTTTTTTCTATACTCTTAGCATTATTGAAATGATTGTTAATTTGTTTGGTTTGATGCCATACACTCAGTTCTTGCCTTTCAGATATATCACAGCCTAGAGGGGCGTAGGGAAGAGAACTGAGAGAATCCTCAAGTATCTTTATATAAATGAATAATGAATGAACCACATACTGGGAAATTTTAAGGGCGTTCATCTGTAATATAGGATTTTATATCAATCTATAATTATAGCTAGTTATTTTTTTCATGTTACCGGGTTTGGACCCCTGTTACTTGAACTAAGAGTCGTGGCACTTTACCAACAGACCACATGGTTGTTGGCGTAGCTGTTTATTATTTATGTATGCATAAAGGTTGAAATAGAATTGAACCAGCTATCTATATTCCAGTACGTATACAAAGTGTTGAAATACTCCATATATTTTACCAGACTCGATCAGTTTGTTAGTTATCTATCATTATGAATTGATAACTGTCATTGGTATTTTTCTGTTGTCATGAAACTAGATCATTTTTACTTGCCAAGTGGAGGAAAACATTTATCATTCGTTGAGGTTGCGAGGTCGTTCGGAATCAACATATTATCAAGTCTTATACACGTGCACGCACACACACATATGAATAAGATAGGAACAGAAATGAGAATATACATTGTTCTTCCTTTTACCAGGGGGAGGGTTTGTTAAAGCGATGTTCTTGGTCATGTATATCAGATGGCAACTTCAATGGTAACTCTTGACCTGAGGGCTGATGTAATCACCAATTGTTGCAAACTCTGATAGATTATAGTAAGGTTTTTCTGTTAATGGCGATAATTCAAGGCTGATTAATGATCTGGACTCCTGATTTTGAGTTCTTAGTAATTAGAGTCTAAGACTGAGTTAATTAGTAGCAAAACTGTAGTTGGCTTCAGGTTTCTAGATTTTATTTCATATCACAAGGTGATACTGAAAGAGAGACTAATGGAACACGATTTAAACTAGATCAGCCTAAAAAAATTCAAGTTTTTGAGTGGGAATGCAGAATGAAACTGAGGGTTGCCTTGAGTTTTTACCTTCAGTTGTCAAGGAAAGCTGCTAGATACTAGAATTTTTGCTCTAATTGAGGATTCTGATTGTCTGGATTACAGCATGGTGTTTTAAACGATTCTTACAGTTCAGACCTATAAATTGGATATTGGTCTCTAGAATAGATATCTTATGGTAGCTTATCTCTGCCTTTGCGTAATTAGGTGATGCTTACAGATTTTTATATGGTGAAGTAGGAATGAATTGATCAGCAAGATTTGAATGACTTGGATGTGATGTTTCTTAGTTTTCATTTCCTTTAGCCTGATGTAGGACTTGATATTTATTGTTTGGGATGGCTTCTTTTTTCAGGCCTGTCAGTTCTGATTGTTACGGGTTATTTGTTTTGCTTTAACATATATTTTTAAATTTCATTTGGAGCTTTCCTTCATGCATTAGTTTTATGATTCCAAATGGAGATTATATTTTCAAGTTCTTTTCGTATTTGATGTAGGAAGCAGATGTATCTAATTATCAAGAAACTGAGACGCTGGACAGTCAATTTAGTGCTGCAGAGGAACTTCAAAAGGTGCATTCAGTTAGTTGTAACATTATATATGTCCCTCTAATGAGCAGAATAACGTTATGTATGCTCCTTTAGGATGTCATTTATTTGATTTAATATATAAGGCTTGTGCTCTGCAGGATGAACCGGAGTTGGAAAATCATCCTGAGGACACTGCAGTTCAACAACAAGGTGGCAAATTACTGGCGGATATGGACCACAATCAGAGAGATGTAGAACCCGGGGAGCAGCAGTATGTTCCTCGAAGACCCTATCACAACCAAAGAGGGAGTCGTGGTACTGGGGGTGGTCGTAGGGGTTACTCCAATGGTTGTGGAGGTCGAGGCAGCGGAAGGGGCGGTGGAGCCTACCAAAATGGTCGTAGCCAATATTATGATCAGCCCGGCATTAACTACTATTCTAGGAGCTATTATAACAACCGGGGAAGAGGTGGCAGAAGTGGTGGCCACGCTTACAACAATCATGGCTCGACAGTTCAGGGTAGTCGTGCATCGGCCGATGTTGCCTCGTGACTTCTTTAGGCTGTGTTTATGAGGTCAGTTTCTTGAGCAAGTGGGTTTCCATGGGAATCATGATTTGGAAATGGGTTCATGTTTATATGTAACCATCCAGGACACCCCATTTACTCCTCTTGTAGTTCAGTGTCTCGATGACTTCATTAGAAACCATTGAAAAACAGGTACTTCCAGCAATTTATTACAAACTTGTTCGACCAGCTATCTATTTGTCGGTATTACAAAATTTTAGGTTTATTTATTACCTTTTTCCAATTTTTTAAAATCTGTAATGTTTATTTAACATTACTAATTTTACGTCTTTTTCTCGTATTAATATTTTTAACATAATTTTATATTTAATTTTTTAACTTTAAAAAACACAAGATGTACTGTGAAATTTAATAACGTGTCAAACCAATTGGGTCTGAGCAGGCACCACTCATTTTTACAGTTTGTATTCTGTTTTTTTTGGGGGTTCAGTAATTTTGTTCAAATTGTTTAAATATTGGGAAGTAAAAGAGAGCAAAGGAAAGAATTATATACTACTTCGTTTTGAATGGTTGAGGTTAATAGAAAATGAAAAACAATTTTAATAATTTTAGTTCAACTAAATTGTAGAAAAGAAAGGTTCATTACGATAGATATTTACAATCATAACGTTTTTATAAAATACTTTATGTAAAAAGAACGAAGCTGATATTTTACATCTTTAAACTATATTAATACTCTTTTCCTGGTTTTTCATTCAAATTGGATAAAAAAAGAAAAATTAGTCTTTAAAAGAAAAAACGGGAAATTCAATTTTCCCAACTTTCTCCAATTAAATTAAAATATTATTAAAACAAAGAAATTTCTTTCTTTTCCTTTCTCCACCTTCACTCCAATGTAGAGGGCTTTCATCCTACAATTGTGTTGGAACATGTTAGGTGACACTTATATTCCTCAATAGTCGATGCAACTTTGCTTTGGAATGTCATTTCCCCCCAGCTAGTATTCCCCATCACAACCCAATGTCTTAAATGATTTTTTCACATGACTCAATTTGCTTCTACAAATAGTGCACGTTTATAATTTTAATTAACTGAAAATTAAGTATCTAAACTATACCTTACTATTAAAATAAAAATGAATAAGTTATACTTCTTTTAAATAAATCCGAGACTATCAGCAAAATTTATGTATAACCAATCAATGTTACTATTTTGGATTTTATTTTTAAAATATACAAATTTTTATTACCGAATATCTTAAGTATCTATTTGAAATTGTATGCAAAGACAGAGAGAAGGGATTACAGTTGAATTTGGAAATAAATATAGACAAAATCGTTTCTATGGTGTTGAAATTGCCTACCAACTAGAAATAAAATTAAGGGTAACTTATCTAAACGGTCACTAAATTAAAAGATCAATTTTATTTTAATCACTATATAAGAAAAACATCAATTAGATCGTTAAACTTTTATTTTTGCGAGACTCAAGTCATTGACCTTTAAATTTCCGTTAATCACTGATGGAATTAATGACATGACTCATTTTTAATTGAGATAATAACACATCCAATCCTCATTACTTGCACACTCTATTAATTTAATCCTATTTTTGATTAGAAATGATTTACCCACTAATATGATGACATATGTTATCATTTTATTGATAAAAGTGAAGAAAAATATATACTAAATTTAAGGGCATCAAACTTGGGCAGAGAGGTTAACACTAACCGATGAATCACGCTTAGAAGTGGTGGAACAAGAAAAACTAAATTACAATGTCATAATTTAAAAAAAGTGATGTCAGTACTCTTTTAAAATGGTGTCAAATTTATTTTTGACATTTTTGATATAAAATTATATATCATTAAACTATATTTAAGTTAATCTATAATTGATATAAAACTTTTTTATGAAACAATGGAATAGGATTGAAAGAGAGAGAACCTGAAACCTAAAACTTAGGTTGGTATAAAAATTTAGATAATGACTGCATATAACATCGAAAAAAAGTTAACTATTAGATATGATTGCACATAATCCATATATAATCAAGCATCTGCTTCTGAATGAATTAAAATATATATATATATAGGTATTTGAATAATGTTCAAAAAGGCTATCGTCAAAAAATAGCAAATAATGGTTAACTGGAATTTAACCTGGATATTTGGACGTTTCTGCTTGGGTGGTCGAGCACTCTGAATCAAGTTTGTGCACTGGTATTCCACTGGTATCCTATATGCATGAAAGAAAACAAATGCACCAGCATAAGGTACCCTGGAAATTTTCAACTTATCGAGATTCTAAGAGGAACGGATCATTTACATTTAACAGCAGTTGATTCTTGCCTATTTTACGCAAAACTACGTGCAAGTGTTGAATAATGATATTATTGTACTTATATTTTGATATAACAAATATTTATAAAATTGATTTTGGACTTAATCAAATATTTCAAAAATAATTTAAAGTCTAAAATATCTTTTAGTTATAGATATATGAAATATTTTTTAGTAAATTAAAATATGAAAAATAGTATTCATGCACTATTTGACACTATTCACGAAATTGTTCATGGATACTATTCATGACTAGTAAGTTCTGAAACTTTCACCTTGAAAGAGCTTCAACGACCCAATTTTCTTCAACAATCATATTTTTTAAGTAAGTTTCGAAACTCTTTCAAAAACAGTGTGTTTAAGAGTTTTGAAACTTCCAATGCAGGTAACCTTGCGCATTTAAGGCTTCCAACAGTTATAATTCATCCTCAACGGTCACAAACGACTAGAAACTCATTTCACACCATAAAAACACTCCAAAAGCACTTAAAGAAGATTACAACATTTATCCAAGCAATAGAGATCAAGAGAAAAACCTTTTCACTCTTTATTTTCCTTTTCTCTTATACATGTGTCTGAGCTCATTGCAAATCTTTCAATTGTCTTTCTAGTGAGCTTAATTATTGTAAACACCTACCTTGTGAGGTTTTTTTGTTTACATTTCTTATCCTTTGCGGTTCTAATTTAGCCTTTAAAAAAATGAGATTGTAAAAATTATTCTTGAACCTAGAAAAGAAAGAACAAATCAGTAGATTTGTTAAAAAATCTATAGTGTGAAGCTAAGGTAATTGATGTAGACTTAATTTAAAAATCGAACCACTATAAATTATTGTGCAAATTTTCCTATCCTTTCTCCTCCCTTTTCAAAATTTTTAAAAAGTTAATTCACCCCTCTTATTACTTTTTCGATTGTTGTTTGAGCTTCATTAATCCTACCAGATATACTATATCTTAACATGAGTAAACCTGACAACGTTAGACGTGATATGATTACACGATAAAAATAATAATATAAACATAAACGCACAAACATGTCTAAACCAATGCAGCACAAATTATTAAGGCACAATATCAAAATTACCATACGTGTAATTAGATAGTCATTTTGATTCCTATCTTTTTAGAGTATTTGGCTCCCGACGTTTTATTTCGAGAAAAAATGACCCCTAGTTGGATGAAAATCATTAGTTGACTAATAATTAACACTTGTCGTTAACATAAGACTGCCATGTCACCACTTTCAACACATAACGTGTGCCATGTCAACAATATATGTTGATTGTTAGTAAACTAATGGTTTCCATCCAATCCGAGGGCATTTTTTTCTAAAATGAAACATTAGGGTCAGAGTAATTTTAAAAAATAGGGGTTTAAGTGTCTCTTTTGTCAAACATTAGGAGTGGATTTGACATTACGCCAATTATTAACTTATCAAAAGTTTATAGAAATATAAAATAACTTGAATCCGATTACAACACAAAGAAAATACACAAACATGACATGAATACATGAATTGCCAAGTCTAAACACAAGTTTGTTCCATTTCTTGTCTTTTTCATAGATTTGAAAGGTCATATGTCATATCTTTGTACTCGTATTTAAAATGTTTCAGACATGAATACTTTAGAAAAATTAAGAGTAATGTATGTTCCTGCAATCACTATTAAGAAGTGGCATCCAACAATTTAAGTTGTCTATCTTAATTTTTTTTTAAAATACTTTTGACCCAAAGAAAATTGTATCACATACCATTCGTTCGTTCACAGAGATAATCAAAACATTAGGAGGTGGTTGAGGTTCAGAACAAGCCGAGAGTTGAGAACAGGCAGACTCAACTTATCATAGCAAAATTAATCATATTTTCTTGCAATAGAAACTGCATATTTTCTGAGTGTTCAATTTTGTTGATAATGAGAATAAATAACTTACCTCTGAAACACATGAGTTGAAAGTATTGCTTGCTTGCAAGTGGTTGCTGGTTGAATTATACCCCTGCGATTGCTGCTGCGAAGCTGAATTAAAGATCCCAGAAAGAAAAAGGGTTGCTTCAACAAATAATGAAATCATGCTTGTTCTCCATAGAAAAGAGGGGGGGGGGGGAACAGTACATGCATAAATGCCTTTTTGCCCTTAAGAAGTCTATGTTACTTGGACTCAAATTAACTTTTAAAAGGGTTTTTCATGTCTTTGGAGAATCTTGAAGAGTAAAATTCTCATTTTCCGTCTTTCTGGACGATTATATCCCCCATATCATGTCCGAATATGCCTCAAACATGAGTAATTCAAGAAAAATGAAACTTGTGCAACATAAATTAAAATAGTGAATAGATGATGCAATACAAGACTCAACTCCTGGATCTCTTATTAACACTTTGAAGTTGAAATAACCAAACGTGTTTTTTTTGGTTTTTAGTGATGTGAGGCTCGGGATAGGTGTGAGTTGGTATCGGATAGGATTATCCTTGTTTTATTTGGCTGTTTGAGGGGTTTTTAGAGGTTTTTTGGTTTTTCTTGATTTGGTGTCTGTATCTAGATTGGTATGTCCTCTCCTCTAAGGTGTACTCATTTGTTTTTTTTAATAAATCATGAGGTACTCTTTTTCTCCTTCCAATTTTCATTGACATACGGTTTAGCATGTTGATGATTATAAAGGGGTTTTTTAATGAGGCCTCCAAATCTTATCCAAAAAAACCCAAACGTGATTGAGCACACATTTTAAGCCTGTAAATACTATATAAAACAAGAGGGCTATGGAGCAATTAATTATATTTAATTTTCAAATTTAACAACTTAGAGATAAAAGCATGAGGTTACAATATTTTCTTATTCAAGATAGATTAACAATTGCTACTGATGAGAAACGGGAAAACAAAAGATTCCTAGGTTACAACAATACATTTAAGTTAAACACCCTGACAGTGATTTTTTTTATAAGAAGAGGAGGCCTCGTTAAAAAACCCCTTCATGATTAAAGGAGCGCCAAGAGATGTCCTTAATCAGCGGAAGGAGGAAAAGAGTGCCTCAAAATTCATTAATAACAGAAAGATACGTAAAGTTTAAAAAAAACAACCAAAACACCCCCTTACAATGAATAACCCGAAACAGAAAAAACAATCTAAACAAAACATTGAAACTAGCTAATACGAGTCTTAGCTAAACCATCAGCCTCAATATTAGCCTCAATATTATCAACCTAGCAGCAATGTCCTTCACTAAATCAACATAATAATGTAAAATAACAATGTAATGAACCAAAGACAGTTTGTTTAACATCACATGTAGTATCCATTTTCCCTACATTGTGACTAATAAGTTATATTCAGACATGTTCAGTTCTCTTTCAAAAGTCCACTCTTACAGATAAAAAAGAGATGAGATCAATGTTAATCACATTCAGGTGTTTCTAGAATTGGATTTTTTTTTATAGAAGTAGGAGGTCTCTTCTAGAATTGGATATACATCCAACACAAGTATATTAATTGCTCTTCAAGTTTTTTCCACATATTCAAAGGGTCCTGGAGGGGGTTATAGTCCCATATCCAAATTTTGATATGCATCAAACACAGGTTTTCAAGCAACACTTGAAAAAGATTATGAATTGAAGCAACATAGATGAAATATCTAACAGTATAATCAGTTGTTTAATTGAGAAGTCTTACATAAATGAAACAAACCTCAATATATCTAACAATATAATTAGTTGTTTTACTGAGAAGTCCTACATAAGTGAAAACAAACCTCAATACCTCTATTCTCTGCAGCATCCATTCTACAAGTCTTAATTGGAGATTGTTCAGCACTTTGTTTAGTTTTATCCCGAATCCTGATCGACCAATTGCAATGCGAATAATTAAGAAAGAGGTATCAAAGAAAATAAAACTCACGCTAATATATGTTTCTTCTCTTCAACGAAGATGCAATTATTGCTTTTTACGGTCTATTTTGAACATAAACAATTCAAACTCAAAGACTTTGCTTGGTAAGGAAGATAGGATAATGAAAAGTCTTATTTGGAGATTGTCTAGCATTTTATTAGTTGCATCCTGAATTCAGGTGGGCCAACTACAACACAAATAACCGGGCAAAAAAGTAACAAAGAAAAAAAAAACTCACCGCTAATATCAATTTTCTCCACTTCAACGAAGATACCATTATTATTTTTACATTCTATCTTGAAACCAAACAATTTAAACTCAAAGACTTCAGTTGGTGAGGTAGATAGAACAATGAAAAGTTTGAAAATTAGAAGGAAAGAGAAATGAAAAGAAAATACTGTTTTTACTTTTCATAGTATGCTTGATAAGAAAGATGTACAGATGAAAAAGAAATAATTCCTTTCATTGATTGGTACCATTGGAAAATAAGAGGAAAGGAGATATAAAGTATATTGATTTATCATTATACCTTTAGTAAGTTAAAAATAAAAGAAAATCGTAAATATACATGACTCATTTTACTTGTTTTCATTGGTCACTTTCTTTTCAATTTGGAGTGATTTGTTTTTGTATCATGTTAAGAAATTGATGATCTTTTCTATTTTCTTTTTCTTTTTCTCACTTTTCACCTAGCACATCCAATATTCATTTTCTTTTCACTTTTTCATCCTCCACTATTTCTATTATTTTACTTTCCACCCACTAAGCACACCTAAAACTCATTAAAATCAAGATAACATTCATACATGAAGTACATGCATTCATGCAAATTTTATAGTATAGACCCGTAAAGAATTTCTGATACTATCAAGAGCCACAAGACATGTAATTTGCATGCCAAATTTCCTACCTTTCAAGCATCTATAATCATGTGATCACTTATTCAAATTTGGAGAAGTATGCTTAATTTCAGTAAAGATATTCACTACATGTAATTTCATTTTACCGATTATCTTCGTCTGATGTATTCATTTCACAATCGTCTTGACTTTCCAACTTTGAGGAGACGACCCTTCTATCCTGCCATATAAATCAATAGCATCTTAGACAACAAAAGGCAAATGGGCATTAGATCAAGCTATTTAAAAGTTTAAATCTTTTTTCCCTCTTTGCAAGGAGAAAACATAAGTATTTCACACCATTTATTTGGACTAGAGCGCGAGTGTCAGATACAGGTATGTTCTATTTTTCAAATTATATTTCATGTATTTGAAAGGAAATGAAGAGTAAAAGCAACATAACTCCACACGCAGAACAGAAAGGAAAAAGCTGCTAGAAGGGTAAAGAGGATCAAAATGGTCTAGGTGTTGATTAAATTCCAATCGACTAGTTCACTTGAAGAATCCCAAAACCATGTCTTAGAGATTACGAGTTTAAAAAGGTCAGTTTGATATTAGCTAATGCCATAAGTTTAATACATATAATGCTCCTTCTAATGCCATAAGGTTATTATATAGAAGGCAAATATCCTCAATCAAATCAGATAGATTTCATCACTAAAGTATTTCTTTAAAGGACTAGCTATGAAGCTAAAAAGCTTCGTAAACAAATTCTTTTAAGACTTAAGAATTAATCCCATTCCTTGTTTGAAATTTGAGAATGATATGTAAATGCAAAGTTAAGTCTCCTTACCTCAGCTATGAAGTTAGCTTCTTAAAAATTTCTTTTAAGACTTAAGAATAAATCCCATTCCTTGTTTGAAATTTGAGAATGGCATGTAAAAGCAAAAATGAGTCTACATACCTCTTCATTCATATGTGCAACAGCATTCTGGATTTTCTGTAATATATTTGCTAAACTTCTTGCCTCAAAATGCAATGCCTGGTTAAAAAACATTTGGTGTAGTTTGGAACAAAACTATAGGGAAAAGGATGTCAAATGAGCAACCAACAGTTTGAAATGGGTACCTCTTTCTCAGACACTAGATTCCGTATGACAGTATCCTTTGCTGATATAGTTTTCTGAAGGTGTTATTGACTAAGGAAACACAATGATAAGAAATTTCTTTTGCTGAACTTGCAGTTTGTTCTTCTGAAATAAAAGAATGTTTCATTTATTGTGACTACTTGGGTGGATATCTCTTCAATTTGAGCTCGGCTGCAAACACTGACTTTTGTTGCTGCCAACTGTGCTTCTAGCTCTGAAATTATTTTATTCTTTCTTTGAAACTCATATTCATCATTTTTCAGCCTATTTTCCAGGTCATTGATCTTCTCTGCAAAAACAAAGTAAATCAAGTTTTAGTGGACAATAAAGAAGAAGATGATTTTTTGTTAGTAACATATTTGACTTATGTGGTGTATCAGAAATGAAGGATTGTGAAAAGATATCATTTAAGAGCAAAATGTCTAAGGAATTTGTAAACAATGCAACCTTCTCTCCGTTTCTTGGAAGTGGTCAACAAAGATATAATTGATCAATTAGTAGTGATACATTTATCCGTGTAGCTTGAACTTAAGTGTGCCGGAATCCAACACAGATGCACACTATTTTTCGTAGATTATGTTACTTGGACTCGATAATGAGTGTTAGATATAGATACATGTCAAACAAAGGTTTGTTCAATTTTTTTCGTATTTTTTTCATGTATATGGAGAGTTCTTGAAGAATAATATCCACAGACCCATGGTCAAAAATGTACCAGACTTGAGTACTTTAAAAAAATTTGAACAATATAACTTAAAGTGTTTGATATGTGCTCAACTATACTTCATAAAACATGAAAAGTCAAAGCAACATCAATTTCATAGTCTAAACCAGGTAAATAAGAACTTGAAGTTACCAACAAATGTTTTTTCAAATGCAGAGACTTTATCCATTTCTCTCCTTAATCCAGCAACTGAATACACCAAATCAAACACTATTAGAGGAATGTAAATACTTCACATAACATCAATCACTTGAGCCTGTCACGTGTGCAAAATGGTGGTAGACATGAAAAAGGTAATAGATTAAATGGTTACATGCCTACTTCCTCTTTTTCACTCACAATTCGTTCCAAATTATCCACAACCTGCTTGGCAGAGAATGCCTCCTTTTCTATTGAATCAAATAATGATAAATGAGAGTTCAATTTCTCAGATAGGACAGCAAGTTTTCTATCTCTAGCTTCAATTGACCGTTTCATTTCACAAGTAGATTCCTGCACAAAAACATCATGCCATGAATGATAAGAAGTTGAATATACTTTCATAAAATTATTCAAGTCTTCAGAACATGAGACTATATAAGCAAAACAATAGCTCAATCATTAAGCAGAAATAAACACAATAAGCTGAATTCTGAGATGAATTATAGAATAAAAAAATAAGGCATTACAGAGTATCAGTTCATCTACTTCTTTGATTTGCATTGGTTTAACTCAATGGAGCCAGGAGGGGCGAAGGAGGGCCATTGCCCCTTAGCTTTTTCAAAACTGGAGCTTACCCTTAGTTCATATTTTTTTTATTTGTTTCACAATGTTGAACATGACGAGAAAAATTATTAAAACATGATACAACATGAAAATGAAATATGAGAACGACATAAATATACATATAAAAAAATCTCTATAAAATAAACTACTAACATGTCAGAAGTTATATAAATATAAAGTACCTTAAACACCGTTATGACACAAAAACAACACAAATGCAAGACCTGTCAGGTCTTGGCCCTCTTTAACTTTCTCCATGTCCCTAATTCAGGTTTAACTTTTTCACTCTATTTACTCAATTTTTAACGACTCTTCAAACAGTTTTATCAGTTTATCCAATAGTCAATAGATTATTTTTACTTTTCACCAGATTTCTTTATATATTATCACATAAGTTCCATTAATATGCACAACCTTTCATTTAATACATTGGCTTCTACATTGCATGATAATATCTAGTTTATGCATTTCATTAACATGAAACACAAGTAAAAAAATACTTAGCAATGTTACAATAATGAATTTTATCTATATATAATTAAAAAACTTATCACTATCAAATCAATCTTTTTTTGTCAAAGAAATCCTATATTCAAAAGCCAGCTGATTGGTGTAACTGAGACGAGCCAATCTCAAGTTGCAATATGTTCAAGCTCGAGCTTAACTCAAGGTAAATGGAGTTTCATTTTTAAAACTCAAATTTGATTTAAGAAAATATCAACCTGTTCAGTGCACTCCTTTACCTAGTAAAAAAAAATCTCTAATCCTATACTCAAATTCAAATTCAATTATTTATATTCGAGCTTGAATTCAAGTTCAAATTGATGTTTTTCAATACTAAAAAAACCTCTAGGCTTACGAGATATTAAGATACCCGAATCTAACTCATTGAATTTGCACTGCTCGAGCTCAAGTCGACAATGCCCTACCCATTTTTTTCCCAAGCAAAACCTGAGTAATTACCAGATACGTGCATCCCTAGCCTTCGTCCATGAATTTTCTCGTTGCAATTTAAATTTACTCCACATAAAAAAGAAGGAATTAACAAACAAGCACCTGATATGCACTTATAAAGCTATCCCTGGACTGAAGTAGGCTCTGGATCGTTCCTTGTAACTCTTTTTGCTTGTTTTCAAGCAGAGTATTATCGCTTTGAAGGTAACCCACCTACAACAAAGCAGTTATATTATCAACTTCTAATGAACACATTTTCAAGAGCATGTAGAAGAGGGCACGAAAGAGAAATTTATAAACCTTTCTTTCAAGCTTTTGCTGTGATTCGCTACATGAAGCTAACTCCGCTTGCAGTTCTTGTAACTTAATATTGTATTCCTCCTCGGTTTGCTTTTGTTTCTGCATCAGGAATCCGAAAAATTTTCAAAATACGAAAAAGGAGAAAAAGAAAATGCAAAAAAAAATGGAAATAACCTGGATTAAGATATGAATTTGTTCGGTTGCGGAACGATGCCTCTCCTGTTAAACGATGTTAAGCAACTGAGTCAGATAGAACCAAAGAATTGGAGAACTGAGAAAATAAATGGTTACTCTGAGATCGCGAGATTCTGTGACGAGAGCTCGAAGCTGGAGACTGAATTTGGACAACTTGAGCAATTCCATTTCTAAATCACCATTTAACTGGCCTTTGTTGATATTTACTCGTTTTACTTTATTTCAAGCATGAACAATCGCCGTTTTTACATGCCCTAAAATTTCCCGCCTATAACATTTTTTAATAGGTCTATTTCTGATTTTAGTCCTCTTTTTATTATGAGATTTGATGTCTAATCATTTTATTTTATTTTATTTTATAAATTTTAGGTAAATACAACGTAGTATATATTTAAAGATTTATGAAATCTCAATATGTAAGTCATTTTTATATAAACTACAAAGAAAATTATATCGACAATAAAAATGAATGATATTGGTCAATCTATTTTTCGATAACCAAACATTGTAAAATGAGGAAAATGTTTTCTGTAAAATATTTTACAGGAAAAACAAACAGATCCTTAATAACAATTAACGACACCCATTTTATAACTTAACCAAAAATTTAACGCTCATTTTATATTTTTAAAATATAAAATTAAAAAAAAAGATTACAACCTAATTTAATAACTATTTTTATACTTGACCTTAAAAATTATATAAAAAATTATCAACAACTAATTGATCTATGAGGCAGTAGATCAATTTTATTGATTATGAAAATATAAAAAGTAGAAAGAAAATTATGTTAACCATCAAAATGAATTGCATTGGTCAATAGTTTTTTTCGCCAACCATAAATTGAGAAAAACATTTTTCATAAAATATTTTATAAGAAACAAACAGATCTTTAATGACAATTAACAACAATTATTGATCCGACCATTTTATAACAGAATTAGTAATAATCATTTTATATTTTTTTAAAATAAAATTTTAAAAATATATTTCAACATAATTTAATAACAATTTATATACTTCACCTTAAAAGTTATAATAAAATATTAAGGTAAATTATGCATTTAATACATAAACTATTACTTTTGTCCCATTTTGGTACTTAAACTTTCATTTTTTTAAAAAATCATATCTAACATTTACTTTTTGATTTGTTTTGATACCTCTTAAAAACCTAATAGAACCGTTGTACATGACATTTTTTTATGGGTAAATTATATCTTTCCTCATTCAATTATTTTCTCACTCCTATTTTAGTCACTAAAGTTTTTTTAATTTAATTACTTAACTTTCAAATTACTCGTAATTTAATAATTCTAACTTTATTTTTAATTTTCTTATTTTAATTATGTATTAATAAAATACTAATAAAAATGGCATTCCATAAAATTATTAATAGAATAAATTAGAGTGATTGAAATATGAGCAATTTAAACGTTGAGTAGTTAAATTGATTTTTTTTTAACTTTAATGACAAAAAGGAGTAAGAATATGGTTGAGTGATGTAATTTACCCATAAAAGTACTACGTACAACAGTTCCATTAAGTATTTAACTGTTTTTGAAAAAAAATAAAGTTTAAGTACCAAAACAGAGTTTAGGTACCAAAACAAAACAAAAGTTATAGTTCATGTACTAAATGTGTAGTTTACCCAAAAATTACCAACAACTAATTAATCTATGAGGTACTAGATCACTTAAATAAAATCAAATATTATAGTCCTAATACTATAAACGAAGAAAATTGAGTTGAGAGGACCGTTTTATAAATGAACTTCTATAATATCTTATCCAAGTTAGTTATTAATAAATTTGATATTAATGGTTAAATTATAATATGTATATATATACACACATTTAAAACATAGTTATCATTAAAAAATAAATTTTTAAACATCCATGTTAAAATATAGTATTATGATACTTACGACTAGGGAAGTTTATGGAGCGAGTTAATCACGAGTTAAGTAGTACTCGGCTCAATTCAAAAGTTGTTCGACTTGTACTCAACCAGACAAATGTTCAACTCGTGCTCAACTCGAAAAATTATTCGACTCGACTCATTACTCGTTAAGCTTGATAAAATTTTGTTCGATTTGTGCCCGTTAAGAAAAACTCGTTACTCGACTCGACTCGTTGCTATTAAATTCGTATAATAATACTAAATAAAATTAATATAAACATAAATTAATAACTTTAATAAAAAATGATCAAATTAATGTGTGAAGTAATTTCAAAGTTTAAATTTTAAAATAAAAGCCAATGATTACACCAAACCAATATATTATAATAATTATTAAAAAAAATGAAATTTAACAATACATAAATAATCTTAAAAATAAGATAAATAATATTTTTAAAATTTATTAAATATTAATAAACTATTCATAAACTTATCGAATCAAATTAACTCTTATTCAATTTAACTAATTAAATATTAATCAAATTTAAATTACTCACCGACTGCTCAACTTAGTACTCAGCCCTAGCTACGACTAACTCCAAGCTGTAGCATGGGAAGAATAAATTTCGATTATTCCTTTATTTATATTTTTTTTGTAATTCTAATCCAAATTCCAAAGAAGCCAAAATAACTTTTGATTGGCGCCGCGGTGAACGGAGAATGGAGCCACGCGGAGAAATGGAAGGCAAAACAAACGCGGTTCAATTGTTCGTGCTTTAAATTTAAAACTGCTCACAAAGAGTAAAATTGGAATTTTTTGAAAAAAATTAAAGAAAGTTACCATGAAAAATAAATAAAAAGGAAGAAAAAAAATAGAATTGGAAATTTTAATTTCTTCAATACACTATAGAAATACTCTTATTTTTTTTTCATGGAACATTTTTTTTAATTTTAAAATATAAGTATTGTGACAAAATCAATAATTCAACTTTTGAAAATTAATTCATTATTTCCAAACAAACTTAAATCCAAATAGGTCTTATTACACGTGTTTTTAATAAAAGTTGAATTTACATCTCAATTAAGCATCCATATCATCTCACAAGTCACAACAAATCAATAAGAAATAAAATATATTATGGTAACTTAAATTGACAAATTCAGAACACAAATTTTAAACATTCAAAGAAGGTTAGCAAACATGAGTTTCTAAACTGGATGAAAGTATTAACCAACAACCAATTAGTCTATTGGAATGAAACATTATATTCCTTAAGTAAGGTAAGTGGTTTGAACATTGGTGTTTGTGAATAGAACAAGTTAGATTGGAAAGATTGTTCTCACCTCTACAATAATTGATATGTATTAGTCGATCAATATCCCTTATACCAATGATTAATTCAAAAGAAAAAATTGATGAAAGCATTAATCAGCATGATGTTTAACACTCCATCTTCCATTGCTTGCAAATGCATTTGGCACACTGGATACCGAATACCGAACTAAGAGCAAACCTGCAGTAGAGTAATAGTAGATTGTCTTATAGCCAGATGATGGATCAAAAAAGCTTTCTTCAGGAATCTTTGCCCTAGATTCCTACATTTCTCTTAGCAAAAAAGAAAGAGAGAGAGAGAGAGAGGAAGAACAACAAGAAGAAAAAGGTTGTTACCACACAACTTAACGAAGAGAGCAGTATTAACTTTCCCCTGCCATTTCATAATATTATGTGTGTATATAAAGATCAAAGGACTTATTATTTTCACTTTACTAGGCGGTGAGTTTGCAACCATTGGGAGATAGAGGCATTGCGATTCTTGGCGGGGACACAATTAGGGGTTTTACAACTTCTGTCCAGGTGCTTTATTTTTCAGTGGTGACAACTATTGTATATCTTGTTAATATCAAGTTTTTAGTTGCTCTTAGCTTTCTTTTCTGAAAGAAAAAAGGAGGCCAGGGGGGAGGGGGTTCATTATGCATTTTTCTTTCCTTTTTTACTTGTAGAATAGATATCTTTACTTGATTGCTGGTCATTTATTTTTCCATTTATTATTCTCTAGATCTGAATAACAGTAGCTTCATTTTTTTTTAAGTCATTCTCTTCTCCAAAAGATGCAGAGTTTTAAGATATACATATTGCCTTTCTTTTTTCTTAGAGTTGCAAGAACTTTTTTTCACCGAGCTTTGACTCTTGTGGATAAAATATTTTATTAATTTCTAAGACAGTCTTGCCAATTAGTCGGCAACTTTGATTGCTGTTATGGTAGCTTGTTACCTGCTGCCTTCTCTTAATTTTTCTTTTATTTGGTGGATGGGGAACTCAAACTATGCTAAAAGGGCAGGTGAACATATCCATTACTAAATCAAATGCTCAGGTGTTCTCTTTTAATTTTTCTTTTTTGCCCTAAAAAGGATAATCTTATTGACCTTCTATTTTCAGGCATGGATTAGTTACATGGGAGAGAAATTGGACGCCACGCTTGCAAAATACATGAGTACCATGGCATTAGTGGTGCAAGAGTGAGTTTGAAGTAAATCAAGCTATGTGCATTGATTTGTTGTTCATATTATCTGCCGCAGACTTTGTAGGTGGTTCTTTGTTTCCATTTCATCTTCACAGTTTTTTTTTTCTTCTGAAATAGATCTTCACAGTTAAACATTAGGGGACATTTTTAAAATAATGTGTTACTTCTATAATATAGAAATAGGGTATTTTTCCTTTCTCCCTTTTAAAAGATTTATTTTGGTGACACATTGATTGATCACGCAAAAGTTAACCCTTAAATGGAACTGGTCCCATTCCCACTTCTTTTCTGGAGTGTTGAAGAAATGTAGGATGTTCTGCTCACCAATGATAAAAATGTAAGATCGTATACTGCCTTTCGTTTACCTTAAATTTATAAATCACTCAAATTTCCTCTTTAACTTGTATCACACTTTGTTTAGTTGCTGATGAGACCATTGTAATTAATCACAAATCATACGACACAAGAATAATAGCATGATATTCTAAGGACAATTTGATCGTATTTGGTATCTGGATGTTTAACCTTGGTTAAAACCATCCAGGTTTATAGGAGAACAAGTGACTTTTTCCATGAAACTTATATTCCGAGTTTTGTAAGATGCACCCTGATGCATGTTCCAAGTTTTCAATGTTAATGCCATGTATAAACTGCAGATATCATTAGCCAAAATAATGATTAAGATCACAGTACAAAGACTGGTCGTAGTTTCAGTCATGCTTTCAATGACTGTAATGCTTGGTATGCTTGCCTGTATCGATGTTCACGATTTTGCACCAATGCTGTCTATGGTATATATTGGATTATCTCCATGTGGAATGGCATGGGATAAATTTGGACTAACTGCAATATTTGCAGCCTCTTGGTTCAAATATAAAGATACTGCTCAACAACACTACACCTGAAACATAAACTGCATGGTCTTTTGGTCCTCTTGATTTTCTATAATGTGCTACTTGGGTTTTTGGTTTTCTCTACTTTGTGAATTTTATTCTCCCTCAGACTCTGACTGTGAAGCTTTTTTGTTCTTCTTTTCAGATGTTTTGGTTCCCCAGGCTGCGATGTTTCTTGAAGCCGAGGACAGAAGATATCCAGAAGCAGGGCCGTGCATGGTACCATGTAATTGATAATTCAATTTTGCTTTGTTCCCTGAAAATATCGCAATGCTTTGCTAAATTTGTGATGCTTGACATTGAAACATTCTTGAATATGCAGTTGAAAATTTCTTATTTAAACAAAAACATTTGCTAACTTCGCATTCCCGTAAAACCTGAAATGATATGTTTTTAGCTGTAGAGAATGTGCATGTAGGCTGCGAAAGAATACCGAGTATATCCTCTGCTTATCTATGTTGATCCTATTCTTCATTTTTGGAAGTACACTCATTTTACACGTGTCCAACTTATATCCGGACATAGCTATAGGAATCTCTCCAAATATATTAAAAAAAACTTCAAGAAGAGAAAATTTGAACACACCCGCAGGAGACTGACATTCACATGCTAGTCCAAGTAATATAGTTGCTTATTGCTAAACTTCTAAAATTGGTAGTTCAGTTCTCCAGCTTAGAAGTAACTAATGAATCTATGCACTCTATGTATAACATATAGAGAATGCGGTTATATTGTACTTCCATGAATTCTACTTTTTATATGTTTCTGTCATTGGAATTTATGTAGGCTTAGAATTAAGGTGGCGGAGTAGTGTTACCTTAGTTTAGGTTTTAACCATTTTAACTTTATTCCTTATCACAGCTTGCTATCGCTGACTTCTGTTTATCCTTCTCTTCATGTTTCCTCTTTTAAATTTAGCCGGGACTTACGTTTCTGTCTATAAGCAGAGATTTTCACACAGGGATTTATTTGCAGGGATTACTTCAAATTACAGACGCGCATATGAAGACAACATATGAAAATTGTTCAACTATTTCAACTATGTATTTATTGACTTATTTATCCATGCATTGTATTTTATCTTTATTTTTAATTTTCTTACTGCCGGAAGTCTTATACGGAAGCTGCTCTCAACCTGGCGTTGGGGGCAACCTACTACCCCACCTCCCTCTTACCCCATTGCATATGGAAATAGGGTTTTGTTGTTGTTGGTTATGTTGTACTTCAAGATAATTGGAAACATTTTACATCATGCATTCAAGTTCATCTCCCATTCTTATTAATAAAATAGAATTATGAGTATTTCCTAATTTTATCTGAACTGCTCCCCCCAAATTCATTGAATTGTTTGAAGTAGTGTCCTAGTCTAGTTCATCTTATCTGTAGGAAAAACATTGAAGATATAGTATTGACCACATTAGCAGAAATAAACTATAGGAAAAATACATCAATACCACACTCATTAGCTAGTATGGAGATGAAAGAGAGGGGAAATTTTTTATTTCATCATCATAAAATTTACGGCCGTGTTAAGAATCTATAATCAATTGATCTCGTATCTAAAAGAAAAAGTCAGATAAAAATGCCAAAAAAAAAAATAGAAAGAATGTATTTTGTTGTTGTCGTTACTCTGTTTTCCATTGGCACCAAGCTTGGAAGCAAACATATTTGGTATTGCTACAGAAGAGGCTTCTCCCAGGTTAAGCTTCCGGTGGCAGGATCAGCTAAATTTGCAAGGACAAAGTCTCTCAGACCGGTGTCCCGGACTTCACAGAACTGTTTTCTCCAATTCGGTGGTTCAATGGCCTCGGTTTCGAGCCCTGGGGCTCTGTCTTTTGACCCTTGGTTTTGGTTTTCTTGCCAGTCAACGACATAAGTTGCTACCCTTCTGAAGAACTTTGCTCTAAAGGTCTCCCATACCTGGTACTTGTAGTGGTTTATTATGATAGAACTTTCCGGCACATTCAGGTGCCTGAATCCCTTTTTCAGCTCGAAGTAGTGACGATGGACTTGTGTCGCTCAGGGTTTTGGAGGCGGCAAGTGTAACCTACAGTTACTCCTTTCGATGGTGTTGAGCTCAATCCGGACGGTCCAAAGCTGTGACAAGCTGTTCGTATCTCTGCAATCGTACTTGATAACGAGTAATTTGCTACTAGGGATCGTAGTAAGTTCTGACCCTGTAAACCACTCCTGTGATGGTGAGGGAAGTAGTAGAACTCATCGACGTCGAAGAATCCTACCCATTTACACTCATTTCTTGCTCTCAAAGCACAGTGCGAAAACCCTGCCTCTTGAGTTTTAATCCATGGCCAGGTATGTCGACTAACATTGTAGTCTTGAAAATCAAGTTCTTCAATTACTTCTTGAATTCCATCGTCACTATTATTGTCATAAATGAACCAGCGTTCAACTCCAAGCCAGGCGTGGTACATGATCCACTCCCGCAGTGCTGGTGCCTGGTTCCAGAGCATAGTGCAGGCACAGAGCTCGTATTTCCCTTGGTAGGGCATTGGATTGTATAGTTTAGCCACAGAAGGCATAGCTACATTCTCTTTATGCCTTATTTGATTCCTCCCACGCTCATAGGATCTGGAATTACGAATTCTAACTGTGGATGGCATTGGGTCATGTACGATGGTAACTCGAATTCCCTGGGTGGAATCCAGATTATTTCTTGTACTCCTCGGCAATGTACACCTAACAACCTCTTGTGCAGCCAATATTGCTTCAGTCATTACCACAAGCCCGCCATCTTCTTCATCATCCATCTTCTTCAAACCAAACTGGCACATGAACTTAGTTGGATCGGATTCTTTATGCGGTCGAAGATTTAATCCTTTAGCAAAAACAAGTGCCGTATTCCCATCCAATGCTGCTTCATAAACCAATTTATCCTATGAATGAACCGTCTGATTACTCCTGAAAGACCAACCAAAATCATCAACCACATCTCCTGTCCACACCAAACCCACAGCAGCCGAGTAATTCCAGGGCGGGTTAGGGCATCTAACAACCAATCGAAACCCATCAAACTCATCAACAGACAAAACCCTTCGTCGAACAATATCCTTGTCATTCAAAGCCTTGTGATAAACACAGTCTAACTTATCATCTTCATGTATCTTGTCGGATACAAGCAAGAGCAAGTGATCGGGGAACAAAACCCGGTCTTCGACTCTCAAAGGCAACCGTAGTTTACCATTAATAGAATCTCGGAGGGAATTTTTGGACAGGATTGACAGATTCGGGACGGTGAGAACTGGGTGAAACGACACCGTTCGGATTGGGAACCTCTCGGAAGACAAGAACATGAGGAAAACGAAGAAAGAAAGACGCAATATGAACGACCTTAGAAACAGAAGCTGAACTCGGGAGTACGGCCTGTATGCTCTCTTCCGCTTCAAACGCTGCTCCGACTCCATATCTTTTGAGAATCCAAAGCCGAAACCGAAACCAAGAATGCAGGAAAGAATTAGAAAAGAGAGAGAGAGAGAGTTCTGGGTAATGACGAAGTGGAGTTGTTGTGAGAGTTCAGATCTGGGCGGCCTTGAAGCAGTGGCTATACGCGTTAATGGTAGCCGTGGAATTACAGAGAAGGCTGAGTGGGGAGAAAGTGGTAAGCTGCTTCTTTTGCTTTTTGGTTTGCAATACTCAGTACACGGTTTATACTTTGTATTGTCTTTATTTATTTATTTGGTCTTTAGACATTGGACAGGTGGATATATGCTCAATCATTTGATGATATTCAAAGGTAATGTGCTGTGTTAGACTTTCTTTTCTAATTTTATACATGTATTTAATGGCTGTTTATAGATTAATTTGATTATTTATTATTTTTTTAAAAATAATTATTTTTATTAAATAAAAACTATTACTAGTGTATTTCTTTACATGTAATTTTGACTAGTGTCGTGGAAATATGAAACATGATACGAAACGCAAGAATGTGTAAAAGTTAATTAAACATGAGTTATTAACCAATAGAAAATTGATTTTTTAACTATTAAAATTTATAAAATAATCTTTTAATTATAAAATATTATTTTGTTGAGTTTTTTTATTATTAAAAAGCTATAAAATATTCATTTAACTATTCATATGTTTTAAATTTATTATATTTTGTTAAAAATTTAAAGACGATCTTAGTTAAACATTAATTTATTGATTGAGATATGATAAAATTATATTTTAATGATGTCTATTAATATAACCGTTACTTTTAGGTATTGATTCGACGACATAATATGAATGAAGAGTTGATTTAAAATTAAACTCAAATGATTTTGAGATAATATTTTAGCTTATCTCAATCAACATATTAATGTTCAACTCAAACGACAGTTAATTTTTAACAAAAATAACGAATTTGAAACATATAAATAATTAAGTAATCATCTTTTATCTTTTAATAGTCGGAGGATTTAACAAAACAATATCCTATAGTCAGGAAATTATTTTATAACTTTTAGTAGTCGGAATATTCAATAAAGTAACATTTTATAGTTAGAGATTATTTGTGTTCTTTACTCTAGAAAAGATATATTTTCTAAATGCATTATAATACGTGAAAGTAAATAAATATGATGTAAATTGTTATTAATATATATATATATATATATATATATATATATATATATATATATATATATATAGTTACAATAATACATTGAATGTAGAAATGAAATAAATATTTTATGATAAAAATAATTTTCAATTTTACATACGTAATATTTTTATTTGGACCGTTAAACTAAATGTTGATAATAATTCTAAAAATTTATAATTTATTTAAAATTATAAAAAATAAAAATTATAATATCGAGAAATTTTTATAAATTATAAAGTTTAGTAAAATTTTTGTTATAACTCAAAAATAATATAAATTTAAACATGTATGGTGTAAGTTTTTTTAATTAAGCTAAAGGTGATTACAATACAATGGTAGTATCTGGTTCTAAATACTCTCAACCATTTAACAATGAACGTTCAATCACTCTTGCAGTCGTTGATTTTCGAACCCATGACCTTTAAGAACAACAACAATTCTTTTAACCACGGAAGTAAATTGATTCATGCACACGTATGATATAAGTTATACTTAAAATTATAAACTTGATTAATAAAAATAATTAAGGTTTTTATTAAAACTTTACTCATTATTGTTTTACTAATTAAATGCAGAATGATTCCAGATCATGGCGTAGATGATGTATTCAATATCACAATAAGGTCTCCACATCAAAGATATGAAGTAGACAACAATAAAACAGATTAAGAAATTAAGGCAAAGTAGAACAAAACATAAAAATTCAGACGGCTCAAAGTATAAATATTTTAAAATAGTTTAGTGACTTTTTTTTAACTTTACTCTTATTTAAATTATTCTTAATTTTTCTTGGTACGAGACCTAAAAAAAAACAATATTTGCTTCACCACCGAGGTCACTAAGCTTTGTGCATTTATTTAATTTTTAAAAAAATAATTAAAGTAATATTTGATATCATTTAAACACCACTAGTAAAGTAATTTTTTTCATTGCCTAACGCATACATGCCATACACGCCTTTAGTTTCCCGTCTCTTTTTATTCATTTATTATTACTACTATTATTAAAAATATACTTATTAGTTTATTGCTGCTTCTTCTTTTGTTCAAGAGTTTGTTGCTTTAGGTTAGCTATGAAGTTCTTTCATTTTACTCAACACTTTTGCTGCTTTAGGCCAAATCACGTCTCTCTCAACTTTGAGAGATTAAGTGATTCTCATTTTTATTATAAATAAATATTAAACTCGAACTTTAAACGAATTAATTTAAAATTATATTCACATATGATAGTAATATTATTAAATCTAATAATTATTTTATAAAAATATTAATCATGTATAAAATTATAAAAGAGACAAACCTAAAATAAATATATTTTTAACCTTATTTTATTATTCTATCGATCAAGAAGATAGAGGTGTGGCCCAACTGAATAATAATTGCAGAAAATCTCCACCAGAAAAAAAAATCTTTTGTTTTTTATTTTTTGTCTTTTTACTTTTAACTAACATTTTTTTCAACTGAGGTGCAAATTGTCCTTTAACTGCATCTTGTCTGCTTCAGCTTCAGCTTCAATTTCATTCATTAATATATTGTAGAGTCTAAAATATAATTTATTAATACAAGATTTAAAAAAGGGTAAAAATTAATTTACAATTAAAAATACTATCAAGAGCGTAATTTTTTAAGTTAGAATTAGGTAACATTTTAAGTTAAATCGAAAATGTCACATTCTCTATAATATTTTTAGTTACAATCGAAAATGTTACATTCTCCATAACATATTCGGTTGTAATAAAAATTGTTATAAATTCATATAACATTTTGGGATGAACCGGAAATATTACATTCTATATAAATTCAAAAAGTTATAAACTTGTATAACTATTTTAGTTGTAAACCCTAAAATTACCACAATATAATATTTTTTATTATAACTAAAAAAGTGTTATAAATTTATATAATATTTTATGTTTGAAGAATAATGTTTTAGGTTAAAACTACCTTAAATTAACCTTATATAGCTACCCTTAATATCTATACCTTATATAACTTACCTTCAGCATTCGTTTATAGTTTGAAGAAAGGTTAGATTTTTGTCAATGTTAGTCCTTGATGATAATGACATAATAACCTATAATTGTCCATATTAAATCATCAATTATCTCGAGTAGTCGGATCGATTTTATTATTCAAATTATTAGAATGTTAGAAAATAATTAATTTATTTAGAATTAAATTGTAAATTTTTATTCATAGATAAATTTAATTACAATACACGATCAATATCTATAGATTAAAAAAACACTTTTTATCAATATCTATAAAATTGAGAATAAATTAAAAAAATTTGAGATAAAATAGATACATATTCTTCTTCACTTTTTTATTAATCTAAGGTAAATATAAGGTAGGATGTGTTTAACAACTCTGAATTATTTGACGAACGCTCATACACCATAACATACACGATGTTCGAATCTAAGACCTCAATTAATAACAACAACCCTTTAACTAATGAGATTGCTCGATTCTTGCTTCTTTATTTGAATAATAATAGGAGTAATAATACTCCGATGGCATCACATCAATTAAAATAAATCATTGTTTCTCTTTTTCGAAATCAAAGGAAAACTCCTAACGATTGATAGGGATAGATCGAAGGGGATAGATGAGTGCAATCATCCTTGAAAATTTTAAATTAATATATATTTTAATTTTTAATTTTAATTGATTATTTGTTTTCAACCCTAATATAAGATCATACGTCCCTGATCGAAGATGCTTCTATTTATTCTGAATCAGGCTTTTTCAATCACAAAATGAGTAAATCCAATTTGAGGTTGAGATTATATTATATAAAAAAATAGATTGATATACAACAAATTATTACAATGTTAAACAAATACACCTAATTTATAGTTTATTACAAAGGAACTTCATCCGGCGAGCTCGCTTATGGGTGGACGGTCCATGACTTCGGTTGCAGTTGTCGCATTTTTCTGCAGCAACGGGTCGATATCGGGCAATTTTGGAATCTGAGCCAAAATGTCGATTGTTCTTCGTAAAAGTCGAGCTAAATCGCCCTCATCCATGGCACAATCCATCATTAATTCCCTCCAAGATAGCCCAGATGCCCAGGCTTCAACCATTCCCAAAAACTGGCTATCCAAACAACAAGGTATCTCTACCTCATGTTTCTCTTGAAGTTGCAGGAAGGAGTTTCTCTGTTCATCTAATAAACTAATGACATTTAGGACAGTAGAGGAAGCCTCGTATATGTAATTATTGTTTTTCCAAGCGCGTACCTTGATCCCCTCGGAAACTAAACTCGCACAGACAGCAGCGAGTTGCGCAGGCTTTAACTCTAGCAAGATTTTGTTTCGAAGTACCATTGCCAACCACAGTTCATTCTCTCCTCGTATTGCTGCTGCTGTTTCACCGAGAGGGAATATTACATGTGTATTGATGTCTAATGCCCTTGTATCATGGATGACACTGCTGATCTGCAGAAACTCCTTCCAACCGGATGGTTCAATATTTTCCATTCTATTGATCAAATGATTTGATCTAGCCTTCAATCGTTTTATCTTTTCCTCAGTGAACTTAGCCGTGTCCAAGATCTTTTTGTATTCTCGAAAGCCTTCAGTACGGCCCATCTTTTTCTTCAAACGTGATACTATGCGCCTTTGTTCTTTGTAATGTTCAACAGATTCAATGTATTCTTGTGACATATGTAACATCTCATCGCTTTCCCAAAGACTACTTAAAACTGGCACATTTAGACTCCAAGACCATGTCTCTAGAGATCCTTCTGTGGACCATAAACCACCAAACTCAGAGTCAGCAAGCTTTTCCCACTGCAGTTCCTCTTTCTCAAGAAGTGACCTCATTATTTCCCGGGGCAAAGCCTCCCCCTGAGTTAAAGCAACATCGGGAAAGCCACTCCTATAAACAGTTTTAATCCACTTCTCAGTAAATAGATACCATGAGTTATCCGAACCAAGGGCCACATAGTAAGTTGGTTCAACATCTT